GATGTATCAAGAACCTAATGGTGTAACTGTTACAAATAATCGATGTAATAGAAATGATACCGTTGCGTATAATATCGCAGAATATTCTTTATTAACTATCAACACCAATGCTATTTTTCCAAATGGATTGATCAATAATTTTTCTATTATCGTTGTTGCTAAAACTAAAATTGGTAAAGTATGATAAATTGAATTATAGAAATGAAACAAAAAAAATCAAAATAATAATTTACATATTAGTTTATGGGGAAAAAAGTCATCCATTATTTTGACGTTAATTTCAAGCATTTATTTAACATACTTCTGGTTGTCTGATTTTGGTCAAATATGCACCGTTATGTTCGTTAATTTGTTGTTGTTTTAAAGGTAGCTTCATAATGCCTGTCTCATAAAAGTCTTGGTCCCTATTTGCGAAAAACTCTAGTGATCGATTTTTACAATCTTCTTTTAATGCCAATTTCTTATCACTAAGAAAGTTTTGCAGTGCAAAACAAAATGGTAATCGCTTGGTGCAAGGTCTGAACTATATGATGGATGCATCAAAACTTCCTAACTAAGCTCTTGGAGCTTCTAGGGTGTCATTATAGACATGTGTGACCTGGCGTTGTTCAGATGGAACACAATAACTCTCCTGTTGGCCAATTCTGGCCGTTTCTGGTCAATCGTTTGCTTTAAACGGTCCAGTTGTTGAAAGTAGAGATCCGAATTTAGTGTTTGGCTATATTTAAACAACTCATAATAAATAATTCCTTTTCAGTCCCGTCAAGTGTACAACAGAATCGTTTGAACTGCTTTGACCACGATCGTTTTCGCACAATGTTGTTGCATGTGATTCATTTCTCATATCCAGTCATCATTCGTTTAAGAAATAGGTCGATTTCATTCCATTCGGAATGGAATTCCAAGACTTCGCAGATGGAAATTCGATTCATCATGTAATGGTGTGATATCCAAAAATCGAGCTTTTTTTTTAATTCAACTTTTAGCAAAGGGTTTAAAACTGTTTTACGGTCGATTTTTAGCTTCTGGGCGATGCTACGGTCTACCTGTGAAAGGTACATTTTTAACATCAAAAATATCTGGACGCAATCAAAATTGCACGTAATTATTTGTTAAAGTATCGAGAGCATAAACATCATTCACAATTTCAGCCGCCTGGCTTGCATTTTCGTCTTTAGAAAAGAAAAAGTGTGAACGAAATGTATCGAATTTTATCTTTGTTGACTTTCATTTTGAACACCCTATAAGTCACAACTGAATAGACCAAAGAAAAAACAGTAAAGGAATTTTTCTTAGCTCTAAATGTCACCTTTCTAACAAGCATAAATTTAAAATTGTTTGATTGATATTTTACGTGATATCGATAACTAAAGTCATCTAACGAAAAAATAATGGATTACTTTTTCCCCAAGCTAAACATTGTGCCTAATTTTGAACGAATTTAATGTGAGCTTAATATGTAATAAAAAATTGTATAGATTATCCCATGGCAACAGTGTTTTCAATTTACGACGATGGTGGTCAGGAACAAATGATTTTATCATTGGGCAAAGACGTAACATTTTTTTACGATACTTCAGACAACGTTAACGAAGACACGGTAGAACCGATATCATTCGGTACAGATATTTCCGATGGTAAATGGCATCGTTTGAGCATAAGCGTTAAAGGAAATGCAATAACATTATTGTTAGATTGCAAAATAGAAATAACGAAAGAATTCAAAAGAAATCTTTCGGATAGCATTAACGTAAATGGTATCGTAATCATTGGTCAACAACTTATGGAAGAGAAAATATCTTTGGTTTGTGATATTTAGTTTTTTTATACACACATACATATATATCTCGATTAACACGTTCACGTCGGCGCCGATTTTCAGTGTCTGCGCTGTGGGGCGGCGCTCGAATCTATGATGCGCTTCATCTGGCGGCGCGTGATTTTTGCTTGTTGAAACTTGGACCAAGGTGGACCACCGGTGGTACGCGCCGCCTGATGGGACAGTCTAGCGCGAGTCACCGGTGGTACGAGCCGGCGTGAACGTGTTAATTAATAACAAAATATATTATAAATAAAACAATAAAAGAGAATAATTATTATTTTGTACATTTAGGGAGGATTGGAAATGTTGAAGATTGCACCAATACCGGATGCTGCGTACGAACTTTGTACGATATTTGCACCAGATTGTAAAGAAAAAGATGAAACTAAATCTATGAATATATTATCTACATATGATAAACAATTTAATTACGATGATTCTGATGATATAGAAGATATCGAGAGAGATAATTCTAACGAAGATGATATAAAAGCATCCCCATTACGATACATTCCTACAAATTATACATTTATTTTAAGACCAACTATAGGAACAAATGAACAATCTTTTATAGTAAGAATTACTTCTTAATTTGTTCTTACGTTTAGATTAATTATTATATAAATATATATGAATTTTAATTGATATGTTTATATAGCAAACGTACGATACTACAAATGAAGTAACTACGACGCAGAGTAGTTACACAAGTGAAACATTTACAACGGAAGAAAATATTTATCCAACGATTGGATCATTTAATGTAACATCAAGTTCTAATTCAAACGAGGATTCTTATTACAAATATTACAATGTTCGTGGATCACCAGGACCTAGAGGTTATCCGGGTCCACCAGGAATGGCTGGTCCACCTGGGAAAAAAGGAGAACCTGGAAAAGATGGATTGTCAGGTTTACAGGGTATACCTGGTCCACCTGGTCACGTGTTTATGATACCATCGATAGGAATAAATCAACAAGGAAATGAAAAAGGTCCTGATTCTCAGACAGAAGTTTTGAAACAAGTATTATCGCAATACGTTGTAGCAATGAGAGGTAGCGAAGGTCCAATGGGATTGACTGGTATTCCTGGTTCGGATGGGCCTCCTGGACCACAAGGACAAAAAGGAGAACCAGGTGACGTAGGTGAACCTGGACCTAGAGGAGAAAGAGGAATACCTGGGAATACTGGTAGAGAAGGTAGAAGAGGAAGACCTGGAAGAGATGGAGAACGTGGTCCTACTGGACCACCTGGTATAAAGGGTGAACAAGGTCCACCTGGATTACCAGGTTTACCAGGAGATAAAGGTGAGAGAGGACCTCCAGGAGCAGTTGGTGAGCCAGGATTACCGGGTCATGAAGGAATGCAGGGTGACGATGGACCTCCTGGTCTACCAGGATTACCTGGTGAATTGGTACGGAAATTTTGTCAATTATATTTTGTATATTACGATTAATAGTTAAGAATAAATTACAAAAATGTTTAATTGTAGGGACCGAGAGGTTTTATTGGGCCACGTGGTTTCCCGGGAATGCCAGGAAATCCTGGAATACCTGGAGGCGAAGGTTCTCCCGGTGCAAAAGGAAATACTGGATCACCGGGTCCTCCTGGATCACTTGGTCCACCTGGACCTGTAGGACCTATCGGTCCACCTGGTCCTCAAGGACCTTTAGGACCAACTGGACTAGCTGTAAGTGGGATATTTATTGCAATTAATATTTTTAATAAATTAATATTATATTTATATGAATTTTGGTAAAAGGGACCACAAGGAAAACCTGGTATACCAGGTCTTCCAGGAGCAGATGGTCATCCAGGAAATCCAGGTAATCCTGGAGTTCCTGGTTTAAAAGGTGAACAAGGTATAATGGGTCCACAAGGATCTATAGGATTTCCTGGCGTACGTGGTCCAAAAGGAGACGATGGTATACGAGGATTACCAGGTGATCGAGGTGAAAAAGGTGATAGAGGAATTGATGGTGAAAAAGGAGATCCAGGTATGAAAGGAGAAAGAGGACAACCAGGGCCACAAGGACCTCCTGGAATTGAAGGTACGGAAGGACCAAAAGGATTTGAAGGTGTTCGCGGTGAACAGGGTCCGGTTGGATTACCTGGAGAAAAAGGTAAAATAGGTGTACCTGGTTTTGCTGGATATCCAGGGAATCCTGGTGAGAAGGGTGATAAGGGTCAGATTGGAAGAGAAGGGGCAAATGGCGAGAAGGGGGAAAGGGTAAAGTTATTCTTTTATTTTATTATAAAATAGTTATAATAATAAATTATAATTTTTTCGTTTTTATATATATATAGGGAAATAATGGTTTACAAGGTGATCGTGGCGAGTTAGGTCCCAGAGTAAGTAATAAATAAATAAGTAAAATTGAAAAAAGAATATAAATATATATTTGCAAATTTTAATTATATCTAATGAAAGGGTTTCAGAGGTGTTCGTGGTAGAAGAGGTTCCGAAGGATTACCAGGTCCAAAAGGTGATACTGGTCAACCAGGGCCTCCAGGATCACCGGGAGAACCTGGATCACCAGGAATAGAAGGTCCACGTGGATTTGTAGGACCACCGGGACAAATTGGACTTGATGGAAAAGATGGTATTCCCGGTCTTCCGGGAGAACGTGGACCAATTGGTGAGTCCGGTCCCCTAGGACAAATTGGATCTCCTGGTGTGATTGGTCCACAAGGTTCACCTGGAGAACCTGGTCAGCCGGGTGAGCCTGGTATTCCTGGTAGTCCTGGAGTACCAGGTGAAATAGGTACATCAGGTGAGCAAGGCAAAGAAGGCCCACCTGGTCCTCAAGGATTACCTGGAAAAGAAGGGCCGCCTGGTCCTACAGGATTGCCTGGATTTCCTGGTGAAAGAGGATTGCCTGGATTGCCGGTAAGTTTATTTATGTAATTAAATTTAGCTCGTTCAAAAATATATGCTGCTAATCTATACTGTTAATTTTTAGGGTACACCTGGATTGAAAGGAGAAATGGGACCTATTGGTTTCCCGGGACCATCTGGAGATAAAGGAGCTCAAGGAGAACCTGGAAAAGATGGAGCTATAGGTCCGGAAGGTAGACAAGGCCCTAAAGGACCCCTTGGTCCTCCTGGTTTAAAAGGCGAAAGGGTATAAAATTATTATAATAATAAGTATTCAATTTGATTCCCAATAATATATGTATATATATTTATTTTAATTTAGGGTGAAGCTGGCTTACCAGGGCCGATTGGTAGAGATGGTTTACCAGGACAACGAGGATTACCAGGTCCTCCTGGTCCAGTTGGTGTTCCAGGAGAAGATGGTGATAAAGGAGATATTGGGCCACCCGGTGAAAAAGGTTTTAAAGGTTCTCAAGGTTCAACTGTAAGTATATAAATACTAAAAATACTAAATATTTTAATTTGATTTAATGTCGTATTATTATTATGAATGAAACGCTTTAAAAAAATGTAAAAATAAATGTATATAAACCCATTAGGGTCCAGTAGGGCCACCAGGACTTCAAGGGCCACGAGGAGAGCCAGGTCTTGTAGGAGTAACGGGTGAAAAAGGACCGCCTGGTGAAATAGGTAGACAAGGAATGAAAGGTGAAGATGGCCCAATTGGTGTACCTGGTCCTGCAGGACCCGTAGGGCTACAAGGTCTTCCTGGTCCACCAGGATCAAAAGGAGAGATTGGAGACACGGGACCAATAGGACCTGCTGGTCCAGCAGGCAGTCCAGGAGAACCAGGGGAAAAAGGGCCGAGAGGTGCAGACGGTTTACCAGGTTTACAAGGTCTCGAAGGTCGTCAAGGAGAGAAAGGAGATAGCGGTTTACCTGGACTTCCAGGAGTAGCTGGTGCTGATGGGAATACGGTAAATATTATTTTATAATTGGATTAACAAAAGGACATGATAGAGTAGTAGTTATTTTGGAAGAACTATTTAAAATAAATAATTTAGGGAGAACAAGGTCTTCCGGGACAAAAAGGAGAAGAAGGAAAAGCAGGTTCACCTGGTCCTCCTGGAAATCGTGGCCCTGTTGGACCGGAAGGACCGAAAGGAAATGTTGGTTCTCCTGGTTTTCCTGGGCCTCCAGGCGAGCCAGGTTTATTAGGCCCCAAAGGTGAACCCGGTAAAGATGGGGACGATGGTGGACCGGGAGAACCTGGGCCTCCAGGCGAAATTGGGCCAACTGGAAAAGAAGGTTTACCTGGTACACAAGGAAGACCGGTTAGTTATAATAATTTCATGATAATTTCTTATTTGATGAGTACGATTTAATAAAATATATATTTTACACATAGGGTCCAGAAGGACCAGCAGGAATGCAAGGTAATACAGGTTTGCCAGGAGATAAAGGTGAAATTGGACCACCGGGTATCCCAGGATCTCAAGGACGACCAGGAGCAGAAGGCCAGCCAGGTCCTCCAGGATTACCTGGTGTAAGAGGATTGGCAGGTTCTGCGGGAGAAACTGGACCACCAGGAATTCCAGGAGCTGTTGGGTTACCTGGAAAAGTTGGTCCTGAAGGACCAAGAGGTTTTAAAGGTGATAGAGGTCGAAGAGGTATAAAAGGACATCGAGGTGATATTGGTCCAATTGGAATGAAAGGTGATCAGGGAGAAAAGGGTGAAAAAGGAACACGTGGTAGTACCGGACCAGAAGGTCCTAAAGGAAATACAGGGCCTATCGGTTTAATTGGTTTGAAAGGGAACGATGGACCACCAGGTTTACCTGGTTTAGAAGGACCACCAGGACCCAAAGGTCACACTGGTAATGACGGATCAAAAGGTGATGTAGGACCACCAGGTCCACCTGGTCCACCTGGTCCTCCAGCGGAACAACCTATGATTCCACCTGAATTATTATTCACTCAGTCACACTTATATAAAAGGAAACGAGAAATTTCGGAAGACACGTAAGGATTTATGAAAAGATAAATGAAACAAAATACCTAATACACAATTTTTACTATTTCTGTTGATTAAAATAATTTCAGAAAAAAAGATAACGAGAAGGAGAATGACTTAAACAAAGAGGAAATAGAAAATGATGATGATAATGAATTAGGAACGAAATTTTTAGACGTATATACTTCTATCTATAGTATGCGACAAGAATTGGATCGAATGAGAAAACCAACTGGTACTAGAGAAAATCCTGTTAGAACTTGTAAAGATTTGTTTTATGGTCATCCACATTTCAATGATGGTTTGTATTATAGATCTTTTCTCTCTTTTTTTGAAATGAAAACTTCTTTAGAATAAGTGTGATTTGAAAAAATGAAACGCGGTGATGTAGTGGGAAAATAAAACCGAGATGTAGCGGGGGAAAGAAACGGCATTAATTTCATATAAAATACTAAATATTATTCTAAAAAAATGCATAAATTAATTACAACATTAGAGTTCAATTTTTATGATTATTTATAAAAATATTTGATTTGTAAACATTTTTAAAAGTGTTTTCTTATTTACTTTCTTTTTAATTATTATAAAAATGCGTGGGGCCTGTATGAATGCAACCCTCCAGACACATTTTGAAAATGTTGCTTGCGAGCATCATTTCTCGGGACGGAATTTTTTTCTGCCTGAAAGATAGGCAACCCGTCATACATACGTGTATAAACAGTTTTGACTGCAAAAAAATTCCGTCCTAGTAGATGGCGCTCGCAAGCAACATTTTTAAAGTGTGTCTGGAGGGTTGCATACGAACAGGCACGTATTTTTATAATTAAATTAATAATTAAATAAATAATTACAAATTAAAAGTACAAATAATATTATAATAATATTATATAATAAATTATCCTCAAAACTAGTTTATTTGAAGGTTTCACTTCTAACTTGTGTGATATACACATATGTTTATTTTTTTTTTATAAACGTTCAAAATTATTAATCAAATAATTAAATCATAATTTACAGGTTGGTATTGGATTGATCCTAATTTAGGTATGCCAGATGATGCAGTTTACGTTTATTGTAATATGACAAATATGGGAGAGACTTGCGTATTCCCGGATACTCACAGTAGTCAAATGCCAAATATACCATGGAGTAAAGATGATGAAAAAGGCAATTGGTATTCCAATTTGCGTGGTGGATTCCGAGTGAGTTTTTAATAATTTATTGACATAACCTAAAAAAAATCAATGAAATTAACATTATGTTAATATTTTGTGTCTTTTTCAGATCACTTATGAGACTATTGGTGATATTCAATTAAATTTTTTACGTTTGCTAAGTCAGGAGGGTTATCAAAATTTTACATACACCTGTATGAACAGTATTGGTTGGTACAATGCACTTAACAATAGTTATGATTCGTCGATACGTTTGTTAGGTAAAAACGATGCTGAATTTTCTTATAATAATAATAATAAACCAATTATTATCGCTGATGGTTGTAAATCCCGTAAAAGTAAAAGTGAAACGGTATTTTTCGTTAAAACGGATAAACTTGACAAATTGCCAATTATAGATTTTTATCCTTTTGATTATGGTTTACCTCATCAGGCTTTTGGTTTTAACGTTGGTCCATTTTGTTTGAAATAATTTAACATTTATGGGATTTAGTATTAACAGAATTATAATAGAAATGTTTATATATATATATATATATATATATATATATAATTTTTTTATACATCATCTATATATGAAGGGTTTTAGATTTTTTATATTAATTATTTATCACTCCTATTAGAAAAATGACTACCATTTTTTAAACTTACAACACATAGACTTTTTTTTTTAAGGTTAAGTACTATGCATTTCTTTACGATAATTTTTTTTTTTTTTTAATAATATTGTCAAAATAATATTTTAAGTATATTTACAGATATAATATAAGTCTGATTTTAAATATATTTTTATTAAAAATGTTGATCCTATAATTATTAATAACTTTTACTTTCCTTTTATTATAAACTACGTTGATCAAAGTTAAAATAATGCGTTTGAAAAATATTCGCGTCGATATAATTATTTTACTGGTTAATTTTTTTCTTGTTATTAATATTATTTTTGAGGTTATGAAGTAAATTATTATAGTAATTACAATATTGATTAATAAAAATATTTAGAAAAGAAAATTAACTTTGCACTAATACTCACAGCGGTTCCGTGGTGTAGCGGTTATCACGTCTGCTTTACACGCAGAAGGTCGCCAGTTCGATCCCGGCCGGAACCAAAGTTTCTTTTTTTTTTTAGATTATTTTTTTTTATCTTCATACAATTCAGTTATCAAATAACGTTAAATCAAAATCTAAAAATTAATTTTAATTTGTTAAAAAAAAAAAGAATGCGTTATCATTACTTAATCATTAATTTCGTTACTTACGTATTAACGCCACCCCAGCAAAATTCCGCTAATGGGCCAATCTACACCTTAAATTGTTGCGACAAATCATAGAATAAAAAACTTCATTTAAAATCAAAAAACTTTCACAATTCAATACATTTTATTTATAAAAAGTAGTCAATCGGATTTCGGTGGAAAATGGGCCGATATAGAATTTAACATAGATTCAAAACAGTCTCGATTTTCTTTCACCTGATGCTGTCGCCATAACCCTGACGAAACCCTGACGGTTGCTGTGTGCAAACAACAAGGTTGTTGTATGTGAACAACAAGATTGCTCTTTATTGGCGCATTAGCGGAATTTTTGCTGCAGTGGTGTTAATACGTAAGTACCTTAATTTCTTTTTTGTTTTAATTAGATGATGCACATAATATATTTTTTTATTTATTGTAAAAAATCGTGCATGAAAAAAAGAATTGTTTATATATATATATATATATATATCGAATAAAGTTAAAGCGTGAAAAAAAGAAGAAGAAGAAGAAGAAGCTTTGACACGAGGTAAGAAGAGAAGAGTGTGAAAGATTCGGAAGATAAAGGGGATCCGAAAGAAGAATGTGCGAGGAAAAACGGAAGTGAGAGATATGCGTGGGCGCGAATCGTGAGAAACGACAGGTGACATCTTGTCGTGGCGGTCGGTGGTTCACACTTTCAAGCTCGTTCTTTCTTGATGACAAGAAAACCAAAGTGACAATGCAGGGCCGTCGTTGCCATTATAACAGAATTCTTTCTATCATCGTCTAAAAAATCCTATTGGTTTGCTTTTTACAGAAATATTCATTTTTTATATTTTTTTTTTTATTCAATACGATACAAATTGAAAATATATATATAATTTTTCATGTTAAATATAAAACAAAAATAAAAAATAATATAATAACCAAATGAAATGAAACAACTGTACATTAAAAAAAAATTTAGGATAATTTGTTTTAATTTAAAGGACAATCAAACGTATTGTCATAAAAATTTAAAGTATTAAAAAAAATGATAAACGTGTAAGAGAAATAAAATACGAAAAGATTGAAGTGAGAAAAAATGTGTTGAAATCTAACGACGTCCCTGGTCTCTCAAGATGTTCTCGTACGATGTGAGAGAAGGGGATGGGGGTGAGGGATAAAAGGTTTCCTTGTTTAACAAAATATCGTCTCCGAGCCATTAGCCCGACTGTTGTTACCACTTCACCGCGATTTTCTGCTCCCGTCTAGTCGAGGAGGTACTTCAGAATCTAAGGGTGGGGATTCCTCCTTCGACCTATCAAGTACAGGCCCTGTATCTCTTTACCTATACTACTTTCATGAAGAAAATCGAGGGTAAGAGTTTTCATGCAATCAACACACCCAATCTTTCTATTCTCATCATCCATACTTTCAATATTGCCAATTCTAATCTTAAATAATTTATAAAATTCACACACACACACACAATATATATTTTATTTGATTTATTTAATACATATTTTTGTTATTTATTTAACCCCTTAAGTTGCACGCTCGAGTTAACTCGAGCAACGTTGTATTTTATGCTGCTATAAAAATTTTGACTAATTTTGTATTTTTTTTTTTTAATTTTTTGGTCAAGACGATGTTCTAATTTGTGTTTTTTTATATAAAAAAGAAAATTGATTTTTTTTGGCCGGTTAAAAAAAAAAAGTGTGCTTTAAGGGGTTAATACACAAAGTTTCATTAAAATCAATTAACGTAACAAGCAGTGTAGGAAAGAGATATGCAAAAATGGTTGAATTATTATTTATATTTAAAAAATAAAAATGATAGATAATATTGATGAAAGAAATTTTTCTGTGAAATAATGATCAGCTAAAAAAATATGTGTGGATGGGTCGTAAGTGATTGAATGTGTGCGCGCACACGCATTACAGAGATGGCAATTATTGATTTCTATGGAATAATAAATAAAATATTCAAATAAATATCGCATTACTGTAACATTGTGTCCCGTGTATCGTGTGAAACGTCCAGATGTTATCTATTATCGTTTTACCATACCAACTTTTTTTTTCTTTTTCCAAAAATTCAAGTAAAATTCGATTGAAACTTTCCTTGGCTCGTTAACGTCTTCCTAAATAAAGATAATTCAATTTCTGATACGAGTTATACGTCACATATGTTGCATACGAAACTTTCTTCATATTAATACTTGTAATTGTAAAGTAATTAGGAATTTAGATATTTTAAAGTTCAACCCTGTCAATGCTAACTATTTCTAGTAAAATATTTTCAGTAACATATTCTCAGTTATTTTAAAAAAGAAAAAATCAAAATTATGTTGACAAAAAATTGGCTTAGTATATTAATTTGATTGTCGGTAATAATTATAAAATTTATCTGTGACGTAGAAACAATCAAAATGTTAATTTATCATTAACCCTTTAAGTGCTATGGACGCATATATGCGTTTGGTAAAAATTACTAGCGTGGTCGTTCGTCGTATATACGTATTTGTTAATATTACTGTAAAATAATGTAACGTTTATATTAATTAAATTAAATTATATTTTATATTATAATTTTATTTAATATTAAAATTAAAAAAATTAAATTAATTAAATTAAATTATAATTTATATTATAATTATTTAATATTAAAATTAATTAAATTAAATTAATTAAATTAAAATTAAAATTATATTATAATTATTTATTATATTTATTTAATTTATTATTAAAATTTGCTTAATAATAAATTATTCCATTCTCCTACAAAAAATTGTAGGTAAAACTTTTCAGCACTCAAAGGTTTAACAACAGTATTTCGTTCAAATAAATAAATTACAATTAAAAGAAATACCTTTAAATAAAAAAAAAAACAAATTCATATAACAATCTTGTCAAGTGTGAACTATTTGTAAAATAATTATTTACAAACAAAGTACCAATAAAACAATGAAATAAAACGGAACAGTTAAAAGGAACCAGGTTAAAAAGTTGAACAAGCA